TGTCCGGCATTTTCGTTGATTTTCCGTCCAAAAATGTTAAACTCAACTATTTGTCCAAATATGTCCGAAAATTATGCAACTATCGTCACTCAAAACCGTCATTTGTATTGCTTATCATGTAATTTTACCAGCCGAAAAGTGTTCATTATATTGAGAGCTTAACAAGCTTTTCATTCGCCAATCAATGCTACGCACCATTACTTGATAAAAATGCTTAAGTGTGGCAGGCCATCGCCCAATGTTGTCCAGACTACTATACCTTTGTGCAATCAATTCCGAATTGGACATTATAAAGCATCGGAATTCCGAATGTCCAGGTTCCTATTGGCACCACTATAACAGATGAAGTAAGGTTTGGTAGAGTTTTTATCGAACGGAGATGATAGACATTCTGAGACATTAAAGAGAGGCGAATTCTGTCAACTGACCGGTGTGCAGCGTGCAGATATTGATACTCTGCAGCTGTTATTTTGTTGTTGTGTTGATTTTTCAAATGAAGGTATGTTTATAATTGCTCTGCCTATTCGTTTATGGGTCAAACAACATCGGTGCTGGCGAGACTATCGTTTTTATGGCAGGTAAAGGCAGTATGTTCAAATTACCCCACGGTGGGGCAATTTGAACACACCGTGACTTGGTGGAGAAGTGATGCTATGCTATTCAAGGTATGCTCGGCTCGTCCAAAAATGAGGCTTGCATGGTAAAAGCAAGTGACACATGCGCTACTGAAACAGTTTTTCTTCATCCAGGGTTGAGCTGGAATTTGGTACAACGGAGAAGACGTAAAAATATGTTCAAATTACCCCACACTACCCTAGCCTTTATCTGAGAGAGTCGATCTGAGACTCAGCTCATGGAAAAATAATGTTGCACTGGCCCACCACCATACAACCGGATGTAATGCGCCGGGCAGAGCTCAGTGGCCGACCGGAAACTCCGTGCTTGCTCTTACATCAGTGCACTAGCATTGTGTAGAGTTCATCTGGCCTCAGGAATGGGATTTTACTCAGAACGGTACTGTAGCGATCAGTAACACATGAGAAAGGGAAGACATGGATTTATATTCAATGGAACGCCTATCATACTTGTCGTTTTGTTGAGCTTCAGTTAAGATTTTGGGACATACATTCTGCTTTATACGGAGTACAATAAGCATAAGATAACGATGTTTATGCTTCTTCTTTTTGTTTTATAAATGCATTTTCGCAGAGACTCTTTTCAGTATTGCTATTTAAATGAACAGATACCCCTCTTTGCCTGACCTCCCTGATTCTTCTTCCTTTCTGTTCCATCCGAGCCATCCGTCTGTCATTGTGTAAAGCCATGACGGCCAGTGAGCGCCTGGCGGCCATCGTACACAGTTGAGATAAGTGAGCACGTTCCTTTCCTTATAAGACCGCACGCTGGAATTTTGGATAAACCCTCTGATGTGCACGCTAACTGGAGTTGCTTTTCCTTCAACGCAACGGCAATGTTTCAAATTTCTTTGTTTTACTGGAACGCACGTCTGATTGCCTGACTGATTTGTCTATGTAGAGCGCCTGGCACGCTTTTATCTAAACTTGTGTTCGGGACTGCCAACAATGCAGTTTTGTTTCACGTGTCAGTGGAGGTGTGTTCAGATGAAACAGATATATTTCACCTGACTGAACATGCTGGTGATTTTTACTTCGTTGGCATTCACCTAATTGAAAAATAGCTAGGTAAGTGCACATACATTTCTGGTGTTCCATTGGCGTAAGCTCCAATAATTTTATTTTGAGATAAATAGACAAAATTAGGCTCTTGTTGAGATCATTTAGCGCACATTAACTGATCTAGAAATTAAGTGTTTTGCCAACGCTGTCAGTTCGTTTAAGCGCTTTATCTATTGGAATAGCACTACCATGTTTGTGCTGATACGACAGCAATTCGATGGTATGACCGACAAACGATGCAGGGGACTTAGCGTTCCTCAATCCTAGCATAGTTGAGCTGACCTGTCGGACCAGCTTTTTACGACCGTCTTGTTGAAGTGCATCGCTTTATGTTTTGCCAAACACAGCAGCTGACATCAACCGCTGCTCTGTTTGGTCAGCGTCGCAGTCCGTTATATTATGCAGGCCTGACTGTGTTTTGCTAATGGTTCACCTGCTGCCAGGCTGCTGCGTGGTAATGGCGGTGGCTGTTGCTGGCCTCGCCGTGTTTTGCTAATGGCAGGGCCGGTGACCGGCATTGGGTGCGGGCCGATGACAGCTGATTACGCGGAACCGCCCGCCGCCGGGCCGGGCCGGCCAGGGTAACGGCCGGCCGCGCGCCAGCCGGAGACTGCAACGGCGCACAGCACACCACCACCGGAGACTGCAGCGGCGGCCGGCATATAACACCGGCCGGCCGCGAGCCGCGTGGGCCCGCCGAGCGCCGCGCTCTCGTGACCGGCGCATATAGCGCCCCGGTCGAGAGCCGCGCGGCCAGAGATGGCATACTTTGGCCGCCAAATCTGGAGCTGTGTGCTCTCCGTGGAGCCGACGGCGCACCTCCACGGTCGGCCATCGTAGCTCTGGGAGGGATGGTCTGCTGCGGGCAGCCAGGCTGGTAAAGCACAATGCCATGCCGAAATATACACATGCTGAGGAAAAAGTTGCAGTAGCATTTATAATGCTCTTTTTTAGTGGTTTGGTCTTTCATGTGTAAGAATAAACATTCTGGAATGCTTGCTCCAATTCTAGCATGTTATTTTGACACTTTAAAAATGTCTTATGCGTCATTGAACAATAGAGAAATTGCCCAAAATTGTGACTACACATGTATGCTATTTGCTGGCTGCCCGCGAAGCATTTATCCATGCTGAATCACTGGATTCCCCATCCAATTTATGGCGTGAACATGGGCGATAAAACTGTATGACTGAATAGTTCGACGGACCTCCATTCAATGGGCCGATGCAATTGTTCACGAGCGCTGCTGACGCCAGCTAGTTTGCTTCACGAATTGTTCATGACAAATCTGATAAGCCGTTCACTAGCGCCAGTTACGGGCTGCTGTTCGAAGGACGGCTGAAAGGTGTTTATCGACCACATACCAACATAAATTATTGAACCCGAAGTGGCCCAATATGTTTATACAAGGAGGTGTGTATCCTTCTAGATTATTGTAGTGGCCAGCTTCAATCATAATGTAAATTATTAGGCATAACAAATGCAGCTTTGGGCCTTAAAAGGATACTGATGAGAAAGAGGGTAGAAGTGTGTATGCACATTGCACATGTACGAGTATATGTGCAATGTACAATGTGGATATATCTAAACCCGTCTCCATTCGTCTGTCTCTTTCCAATCCTACTTAACGTATATGTTTATTTGCACATTATTGCGCGTCTCTATTCATACTTGGTGACCCCTTATACAGTTAACTGACAAATCTCTGAAATCAATGAAATCTTGTGACATCACCAAGGCTTTGAAAATTAAATACGGCATGCCCGACGTTCGCAGTGTGACAGCGGATTATTCTGTGACGTCTACCTCTCCGCTGAATCGTCCCGACTCTGACGTCTGCGGCTTCTCCAGGAGAGGCCCTGTCTCAGCCTCAACACTCGGCCTTTCTCGGCCGCTCCATACCCGGCAATCTGCGTCGTGGCTGGACGGTCGCGGGCCGGCCGTCCGACCTGCTCGTGACCGCTCGGAGAGCATTCGCCGAACTTGGTCACCCGATGGTCGTTCTCGATGACCTGTGGTGGTAGTTCAGCTGATGCACAATGCCTATTGGTGACACGGCCGACCTGTGGTGACACTCGAACATCGCAAGTCGAGTGGTGAGACCAAACACGGTCTAACAGAGAGATCAGAGGCCGGAGGCGTCTCCTGTGACCCATGACAACTGACGGCGCTCGACCGAGCAGCGCTGCACCGCTGGGCGTTGGCCCTGCGCGGCACTGCACCCTGTGACCGGCGCTGACCCGAGAGGCCCTCAGCCACCCCGGCATATCTTCCCCAGCAGTTCTGCCGCGGAACTGGTGACCCGTGTCCATAACACCGAGAGAAGCTTCCTTGTTTGGGGACGTGGCGCCACCGCGGTCATCACTCATCACTGGTGCCATCGTCTCCGGCCCTGCATCGCTGAGATCACTTCTGGGAAAAACGTCACGCTGGAATGCATACAGGAATTCGTTTGTCAAACATGGAAGTACATTGATCGGATAGTGGACGTAGCGTTTAAATGTCAGCGGCGTTTTTCAATGACGTGGTTTTGTGACGTGTTGAATGACGTTTCCCAATGTCGGGGTCGACCAACGTGCGGCCATCGAGCCCGACTATCTGAGCGGGTGCGATGTTGATCGGTCTGATCGCTGGGAACTGGTTATGCTATCTGTCCGTTCTCGGTTCTGCGGGCTGGATTTCCGGCTGGCCATTGTCTCAATTACGGCGTGCCGGTCGGCCAGTCACGAGCTCGCCGAGCCCGGTTTGTTATCATCGCGCCGGCCCGGCGCATGATGCCATCGGTCCGGTCCGCTCCTTCAGGGTCAGAGTGGTTCTTTCTCGGCGCTGTGCGCTCGCTCGTTCCTTCGCCTCCCTCCATTGAGCTGCCGTCCCCTGGATAGGGCGCCGGTGAATGCCGTTACATCATCATCATCCGCCGAGACATCGGCGCGCCGCGGCTCGGCTGCTGAGTTTCTATTCCGGCGCCGTGTAAACTACTCTGATCGACTTGTAGCCGCACTGAAGAATGCAGATTTTCCCCACAGGCTTCACCGCTCGGGTAGTTAACATTCCATTCCGGTGCGGAGCGACCAGCAGAGGCAGATCATCGCCGGATGCCAGATTTGTTTTGGATGACGCACTTAACTGAACCTGGATGTTGCATAAGGAGTCTTTGTCATTTCAAGTCGTCACTACTTTGCCAGAAGAGCATCTGCACATGCACTGTATCCATTTTTCACCTTCAGTTTCCTCGGACCCCAGGCCTCCCCTCTACGCAGCGGCGCCGGTCGGATCCGTCTCGCGGCGCCGCTCCTACCCGGGCGAGCCAGCGCGGTGCGCTCGGTCGAGCTCTGCCTCTGCTCGCCAGTCGCTTTCCGTCGCCGCCGCCGTGCCGACCTGCCGCGCGCGCCGCTCCGCCACTCAGTGACGTCACACGACCCGAGGAGCGCCGCCGACCCGCCGCTGTGCGCCACGAGTGGACCCAGCCAGAGGATAGCGAGCAGTGCCTGTGCGCGCGAGTGGGCCGGACCGATGCGCGTCATACACAACAACCTTCAGGCGGGCGAGCACCAGCAGCCGTCCGTCATGGACAAGCTGCGCAACAACTTCAACCAGCTGTGCCCGCTGCTGCGCGCGCGCTACCGCAAACTGCTGGACGACTACACCTCGTCCAAGGAGAACATCCCGCTGCTGATCCAGTCGCCCGAGTATGTCTCCTACTCGTGCTCCTGCTGCGGCCGAACGCAAAAACTTCAGGTGGGTGTGCCGAACACGGCGGAGGGGATGAGAGGCGCTTGGAAGGAGCTTTCTGCCTGTTGGGTTGGTTTTTTTTTCATACAACAGACATGTCATCGGCAAGTGAAAGGATATGTCTCTGATGCCTGAATTGTATTAGGTATGTGTGGGAGTTAGAGCTAAGACCTCGTGAGTTGGAGCAGTCGCTGCGTTTTCTGGTTCCAGTCGTGTCAACTGGTTTTGCTCCACGACGCCGTTCTAGCATTCTGTCTCCGTCACCGTGTCCTTGTTTTGATGGGCCGTGTGAGTGTCCACCTCCCGGCTCGGCCGTCCCCGATACGGTTGGACGGCCAGGTGGCACGCCGGTACCGGCAGCCGCCGGGGGTACAGGTGCGTGTGTGAGCGGCCGCCCTGTCGCCGCCTGGCCCGCGCCGCGCTGTTTCAGGTCAGACTCCGGATCCGGGCCGCCGACGCGGCAGTTGACCGCCTTCGTGGCTCGCACAGCGCCTCCGCAGACGCTGGCCGGCCGGCCGCGAGCGGCGGCTTTCTCGCCGCTCAGCTATGCGTGGCTGACGGTGTGCTCCGAGGGCACGATCAACTGCAGCAGTCTGACAGACGGGCAGCTGCAGCCGCCGCGGCCTCGCCCGGCCGTTGAACACGGTTTATGAGTTCGATTCCGGTCGATGAGCGACTCGTTACCACATGCCGCGGGCTGCGCCGAAGCTCGGGCTCGCCGCCTGGTGCCCCGGTATGCCAAGGAGTGCCGATTCGGAGCAGTGATAGCGCGCGGGAGGTTTTTGGCCGACAGTCTCCCGTCGTCGATAGCCGTCCGTGGCAGCTCGTGCCGCTGCTGATGGCTGCGTGTTGACATGTTCTCTGAACAGCTTTCCGAAATGCGGAGCGGCGCCGACCGTAGATTCGGGAGGCCCGTCCCAAATATAGTCGTGGCCGGGCTCTGATGACAGGCTGCGCCGCACGTCACGGCCGTACCCTCAGCCGAATAAGCGTGCTGCAAGGCCAAGATGGCATTCCAGACAAGTCCTAGTATGGAGTGAGGTGTCCTCTGCCGCGAGCGAGCTGTCAAACCGGCTCCTGTGATTATGCAAATATGCAGCCACGTCACCATTCTGATCTGGGATGTGCCGCTCAGGGGTTTATTTCCTCGTTCTGTCTCATTTAGATTTAAGCGGTGAATATCTGTTCCTACACCGATATTCAATTTTCCTCTGAATATCCTCTGGAGGAAAACTAAACTATAATCATTATAATGATTGTCTTATGTTATTTGCAACAAATATGCTAGTTGCCTGCTACTGGCGACGCATGCGGGACAGGTATATATTGTTTGGGCGGCGAGAAATGTACCCACAATGTTGTTTTATTCAAGGCTACTTGTGCTCGACCTGATGGCTGTCGTTTTTCCGGGAAAGTGGTATATGCGTGTTGCATGGCTAAACGTGTTGAGCGCTGTCGAGGCGGAACAATCTCATCAGCCACTCACTAGCAAACGTTCTCTGGAGATTAGCTAGACTACCACCCTGTCAGCTACGTGTCCATGAAACAGGCTGAGCTCAGATCTTTTATAAATCTAGTTGTGTAACCGATTACTTGCCCAGATGTAACCGATTACTTGCCCAGATATGCCCAGATAGCAGACATTCCAGCTGGAATGTAGCAGACATTCCAGCTGGAATGTCTGCTGTAGGTCTGGACTCATTTTCCGTTCAGGCTGTGGGTGCAGTTCCCATGGGACCAGATGTATTTTCTTCGTCTCATGTTTCTGCAGCTGTTTCTGACTTCCCCAGCCTCCCCGCGGACCCCCAGTGCGCTCCGGGCGCAGAAGGACCCCAGTGTGAGTCCGCTCCCCTCCCCAGGGGAGACGGGGGGGGGGGGTTGTCGGGTCCCCTCTGACCGAGCAACACCCCTCCTGGTGCGGTGGTCTTGTCGGGTAATCTGCGAACCACCTCCGCGAGCCGCCACCCTGTTATTATCCTATCTATCCTTCTAATTATGCTGCACTCCCCTCTGTAATCATTCGTTTCCATTCGCCACGACAGTGGTAGGAGAATGTTAAAAAAATGTGCTGTTCGCGTCCCCTGTCAGAGCCTTTTGTGGCTTCGGAGAGCAAAGGCCAGCCGTCGGCACGGACTCGATGGTTAGCGACGATTTATTATTTTATCTTAATTTTCATTCTTTTGAGCTTGCCGCTACATGACTTCCACGTGAGGTGAACAATAGAACCTTCTTCGGAATTTATGCGGGCTCTTTTTGTTTCAAAAATAGGGTTGACTCAAGGCATAGAAAATCGGCACAGATACGGGTAGTCAGCACCTCTCAAATGGTGCGGAGCTTTTCGGGGTCACCTTGAACTATTCACTATTGAATTCTGTGGTTCATTGTCGACTCATATTCATTATTTTTACCGTAACATTTAGCGAGTCAAACAATGGAAAACTAGCTAGCGCTTTTACGGAATTCAAATTCATGCCGAGTTTTTCTACTTCTTTGAACGCGACTCCGTTACCGCCACGAATGTGTCTCGGGCCATAGCCGTTGGAATTTCGATAGCCGCCGGGCTGTCGGGAGTGCAGGGCTATGCCATGACGACATCGGCACATGCAACGCGCTCGTGGCATGCCGGCGCGCCTTCATTCCAGCCAGTTTTCACTGCGGTCGGCACTTTCGTCGTGTCGAAATCGATCTCTGAAGCGTGATGCCTTTCGTGCCGGTGGGTTTGAACTGTTGCGCGCTCGGAGCGCCGCGGTGGGATCGTGCCGCGCTATCACGGGCAGGGGTCGGACCGGCGCCGCCGCGGCGGCCGCAGGGAAGCGTGCCCCGCCTGTCGGCGGTCGTCTCAAAGGCTCTGCTTGGCCATGACGTGTGCCGCGCGCTGCGTGCTTGCTAAGGAGGGCGGCTGGTGGCGTGCTCGGCTAGCCTGGTTCTCGCCGGCCGTGGGAGCGGGCGCGCTCCTCTCGTGCCGCGGTGGTGTGAGTCGCCCGACCGACGGTAGCTGAAAATGAGCTCAGAGGCCGACTGAGCGGTGCTGGCGGCCCTGAGACCCCGACCCCGACCGGAGAATGGGGGCTGAGAGACCGGTGTCAGGCTCCTCGGGATGCACCCTTCTCAGGCCAGCTCACCGTGGTGAGACAGTTGCTCTGGTGCTCTCACAGCCCTGTACTCCGACGACTGAGGTCGCGCCGTGGCTGTGACCTGGCTCGTGTGACCTCACATGTCAGCGCGGCGACCTAGTTGTTCCGGCAAACTGAGACAACCGCAATGATTCGGGGAACCATGTAATGTGATGAGGCAGCGCTGCGGCGCCCATTATGTGCAGCCACAAAACGTTCCGGACGCCAGCTCAGCTGCTCCAGTAACTGGGTTTCTGTGGTATTTCCGACAAAAGTCCGAGTTGGTCTAGTCTTCTATTTCCATTCCAACGGCACCAACACCACACACGGACCCGTCCTCTCGCCTGCGCCCTCTCTGCCTCACTGCCGCCTCTCACCCCGTCCACACATGGCCAGCAGGCGGCTTCCGCCCATGAACAACGTCGCCCTTCTTCCGTCCCTCCACGTGTCTCTGTCGCTAACGAAACAGTGCTAATTCAGGCCCACTCGCCGACGCACCACTAAGCTAGAATGACACATTCGAAACACATTCCCCCCTGTTCCTAAAGGAACACATTCACTCAACCGTCTCGCTCGGGATGGGGTCACCGTACAGCTGTGTCGCCCGTCTGCAGCGCGCACTCCTTCTCAGTGTCTCACTATCGTTACACGGTCCACCCCCACCTTCCGCCGGTCCCTCAGCCTCATCCCTGCGGTCACTTGGCCTTTCATTTTCCAAAGCCGAACCTTGGCCTTCGGTGTCCGTTTCCAGTTTCACGTCACCTCCCGTCTCAGTCTGCGGGTCCCTGGCAGGGTCGTTAGTCGGCGCGACCGTCGGGGCCGTCGCCGGGGCCTCAATGGCCAGCCGCCCGGGCGCCCGGACGGTCGGAACCGGACAAGGCACGTCATTGTCCATCTGCCCGTGCTCGTCCTCTGTCGCAATCACTGTCGCGTCATCGACCAGACGATGCCGCACGTTTCGGACGTGCCACGGCACACCGTCCACCTCTATCGTCTGCGGTGAGACGATTTTAGTGACCGTGCCTTCCCTGGACACCGCGGTGCACCGATCACCCCGTTTCCGAATCCACACCGCGTCTCCGAGCTGAAATACGCCAGGCTGGCGGGCAGTAGGAACAGATGTGCCTCCATGTGACTGTACACACAAGTCCCTACCAGCCTGACGGTACACGCCGTGTACGGGGGCCGACGCGATATCACAGCCGTCCTTGGGCGTGACATTATAACGATGCACAGCCTCCGGCACGGTGCAGCCCTGACGGGTGGCCATCACTTTGATGGTGCGGTGGTGGCGCTCGATGATACCATTCCCGCCAGGCTCATATGCTGCGCGGTACCTCAAGTTCACGTCCCATCGCGCCGCGAACGCCTTCAACTCTCGTCCTTTGAACTCCGTCGCGTTATCCATCAAAAGCTCGGCCGGCGCCCCTCGCTCTAAAAAGATGCTTTCTAGCTGCCCGACGATCTCCCTGCCGTCAGAGCGGCGAATTTCGCGCCACATTGCGTACCGCGACGGTCCGCAGTCGATCACGGTCAGGTAGGTCTTGCCACGAAAATGTGTGACGTCCATCGCCAGCCGCTCCCAGGTACGGTCGACCTCCAGGGTGCCGTGCTTCCACCGCAACGGGGCAGGATCAATGGACGCACACACCTGGCACGATTTGACGACCGCCCGGACCGCCGACTTCGTCACGGCCCCGCTGCCCAGCTCTCGGCGCGCGTACCACCAAGTACGGCGCACCCCCTGGTGGCCCACGCTCTCGTGCACCGCCTGTATGTCCTCTGCACGCGCTGTCCTCACGGCGGCCACCACGCCCACGGCCTCTGGCGGTTTGACCTTCAGCCACTCCCCTGGCACTCTTGTCAGTTCATCGGCTCGGTTATTCGCTGACG